TTGCTTTCAGCTGTGTGATTTCCAATTTTTTCTGTGTTAGTGTTCTCTGCACTTGTTACAGGTGGGCTTGGGTTCTGAGGTTGCATTTTGTTCCTTCTCATCATTTTGTGTAGCACTGTCTTCTCTCCTTTCTTGCAGATCTTTGCTGTAATCATAACCTTCACACGTACTGAAGTTCTGGTGCAGCTCTACAAAGTTTAGACTTATCCACCTGTGTCTGGCTTGGGTCTGGCTGCTGTGCTCAGCTCCTTCCCGCTGCTGCCCTTGAAGGTGAACCTGTTGTGCCCCTGTGGCAACATGTTCTGCTCCTGGACTAGCTGGGTGGATCTATCCTCTACACTCTCTGCAGGGATTGCAGCTCCAGGGTTACAACCCATGTGTGTATGCCAGGCCTGAGCTGTGCCTGGCGGGGGCAAGTTGAAGTAGGGGGAAGAGGAAGCTCTCCCACACACTCACCGGACCTGGGCTAGGACTGGGTCTGGGTGTTTCCGAAACGCGGCAGAAATTCCTACTCGGTGGATGGGGTGGGGGAGGTGCTGCGGAGTGGTGCAGGGCAGCCCAAGTGGGTGGGAGAGGGTCCGGCCCACTCTGCATCTGGGCTGGGACTGGTTCCGCTGGCGCAGGTAACAGGAAGCTCTCCCACACACTCACCGGACCTGGGCTAGCTATAAATTCTTGATGGAACAATAATTTTAGGCTCTCTACTTCTGCACATCTTCCAATAACCTTTCTTCCTGTGCAGCCAGCAGCTATCCAGACAAAAGGGTGAAGGTCAGAGTGAATGGAGTTGGTCATATTGGACTCCTGGTCACCAGGGCTGTTTTTAACCCTGGCAAAGTGAATGTTGTGGCCATCCATGACCATTTTATTGACCTAAACTACATGGTCTTCGTGTTCCAGTATGATTCCACCCACTACAAGTTTCATAGCACTGTCAAGGCTGAGAACGGGAAGCTCGACATCAATGGAAAGGCCATTACCATCTTCAAATTGCAAGATTCCACCAACATCAAGTGGAATGATGCTGGCGCTGACTACATGGTGGAGCCCACTGGTGTCTTCACCACCAAGAAGAAGTCTGGGGCTCACTTGAAGGGTGGTGCCAAAAGGGTCATCATCTCTGCCCCTTCCACCAATACCCCGTTTGTGAAGGGTGTAAATCCCAAAAATTATAACAACTCCCTCAAGATTGTCAGCAATGCTTCCTGTACCACAAACTACTTAGCCCCGCTGTCCAAGGTCATCCATGACAACTTCAGCATTGTGGAGGGACTCATGACCAAAGTCCACACCATCACTGCCACCCAGAAGACTGAGCAGCCCCTCTGGGAAGCTGTGTCATAATGGCCACGGGGCTTCCCAGAACATCATCCCTGCATCCACTGGCACTGCGAAGGCAGTGGGCAAGGTCATCCCAGAGCTGAGTGGGAAGCTCACAGGCATGGCCTTCAGTATGCCCACTCCCAACTTGTCAGTGGTGGATCTGACCTACTGCTTGCAGAAAGCAGCTAACTACAACAACACCAAGAAGGTGGTAAAGCAGGCATCAGATAGTCCCCTCAAAGGCATTCTGGGCTACACTGAGGACCAGGTTGTGTCTTGTGACTTCCACAGTGACACCCATTCTTCCATCTTTGATGCTGGGGGTGGAATCACCCTGAATGACCACTTTGTCAAGCTCATTTTCTGGTATGACAGTGAGTTCAGGTACAGCAACAGGGTGGTAGACCTCATGGTCCATATGGCTTCCAAGGAGTAACTGGCCCCCACACCACAGCCCAGTGAGACCAAAGGATTGGAGAGGCCAGGCTGTAGAAGTCACTGCCCTACTCAGCCCCAACACAGAATCTTCCTCTCACAGCTGCCATTCCATGGCCCCTAGAAGGGGAGGGGCCTCAGGTCCCCTGGCTCACTGCCATTGTACACCATCAATAAAGCTCACTGTACCCAAAAATATAATAATAATTGCAAATTCCTTAACCATTTTCTTTTTTAAATTTTTTATTCATTTTAATGAGAATAAAAGATAAAATAGCAATGAAACAGTTTCAAAAACAATCCTTAACAATTTTTATTTTTCTAAGAAAAATCTGTCCTTTATTTCTTATTTATTTACAACACATTTATAAATTGAGATTTTAAATAACATAAATAAATAAATAAATAAATTGAGATTTGCTCTTTACATATTTATTTAAAATGATTCCAATTAGCCACATAAGTTATTTTTATTACTATTTTTATACTATATCAAAATTTTACATTTATAACTCTACCCATTTGTTTTAAATTTTCTCATTTTTGCTTCTATACTTTCTCTAGAGCTTTATAATCTGAAATTTAATGTACTTCTTAAATTTATTTGAAAGTTTCTTGACTGCAAAGCAGGTAGTAAGATTTATTTTAAATTTCCCTGAAAAATTTTCTCATTTATTCAAAAACCCATTTATAGTCATTCTTTTCAATTACTGGTTTTGATACTAAATTTACACATGGAATACCTATTTGTTCATACACTTATACATGTATAAATACATACATAATACTAAAATTGACTTCTATATCCTAAAGACTTTATTCAATTTTATATTGATATTTGTGGAATGAACACATTTTAGTTGAATGTCACAATTAGAAAACAACATTGATATGGTTTTCTACTGTCTACTCAATTAAATATTTCCTTAACAGGAAACTCTTACAATAAAATTCCAATTAAAGGTAGGAAGCAGTGGATGAGAAACTCTTGCTGTGCTCCCTGCATGTGGGTGATCTCTGATGCTCATGGTTTCTTGCACTCTGATTGTGCATGAGTCTGTTATTAATAGTTCCACTCCAGCAAGCTAACTAGTGTAGACTACAATAAATAGAACAATAAGAAATATCTCCCTGTCAACCAGTTTATGAGTTTTGCATCTTTCTTACTACCCAATTAGATTTGTTTTATGGTGTTTTTAAAAACCTTACTCTCATTAATACTTGAAAGGAACATGGTTTCTCGAAAGTATTTCATAGCATTATGTATATCAGTGGGTATTATTCAACTTTATTTCTAGTTCTATTGAGAATTTTCTTTGCACAGATTTCTGAATGATTTTTATAAAGACTTTTTGGAATGATAAATGATTTATTTTCTAAAAGTCTGCTGAAGTTTATCCTTATAGTTCAATATAATGTAATCTAATAACAAGAACAGGTGAAATGTCAACTACGTAAAAAACTTAGCCAGGTGTGTTGATGCACACTCATAATCCCAGGTCTTGGGAGGCTGAGGCAGGATTACCCTGAGCTTGAAGACAACATAGGTTTAATAGTAAATTCAAGGCCAGTCTGAGCTACATAAAAAGACACTGTCTCAAAAAAAAAAAATAACGCTTGGAGAATTTATTTTAGAAGGTAAGTATAGATTATATAAATTGATGCTAGTATCCCTCATACTAAACAGAAATGGAATGTCCAAGTTCTCCTTGCTGAGCCATACGGAAATGTTGCTCCATTACATTCAAACGGTCTAGAGAAAGTTTTAAATTGGAGCATTTCTATGTATACTATTTAATGGCGAGGACAAATAGATCAATATCACTAAAAATGTGGTTGTAAAAGCTCCTATAACACATTTGCTCTTCTCAAAAACAGTTGCCCCCAAAACACCAGGTAAAAATAGAATGAAAGTTGTAGGTGAACTGCACCTAGTGCCCTTGTAAAAGTCTTTAGCACAAGCCACATTAATCAAGTATTCTATTTTCCCAGAAGGGATGTAGTTAAATTACTTAGTTAAGTTCTTAATCATGCCCAACTTTTGATTAAATGGTCATCAAGGCTGCCTTTATAAACAAATTATTCACACTAAATTACATTCTAGATTGAAACAACTCATATTTGAGGTCATCTGCCAACTTTCATATTTTATGATGTGTCATCAAGAAATCTAAATATGGTTGCTCATTTCAATGAAGTGCTAGTTGTTATAGATACAAAAATAAAGAATGTAGCAGAATGCCATTAATGGACTCCTTCATTTTACTACATCAGTAGTCCAGGTGAAAAGGGAGAAACAAAAACTAAGACCTTCAATAGAACCATCTTCATTATCATCAGTGCTGCTGTGGTTCTGGAAAGGCACAGCATGCACTCTGACACACACCATCTACAATGTACTGAGTTACCCAAGGACCCTTAACACCCCAAAGTCCAGAACACAGCATCCTTCAATTTCTCATAACAAAGGTGCTTGAGGAGCAAAGCTGGCTGGGTGGGTGGGGGAACACACCCTCATGTCACTTGCTTTGTCTATCTCCCGACCCAAGAAACAGCTTCTGGGTCACCCAGGATCCTGAAGCTGACACTACTGACATCAGAGGGAAGCCTTTCCTTCCTTCACAACTCCACTGTCAATCAACCAAAATAAAGAGCTGCTACAGGAGTCCCAGTGTTTTTGAGACCAGAGGAGAGTGTCTTCTCAGGAACATAAACCTATAATTTTTCCATCTTAGATTAACGTTTCTTTCTAAAAAAGCTGGCTTCTCAGTTTCAGCACCATCAAAAGGCTTTACTGACCCCTGCAATAAAGATATTTCTTGACTTCAGTCCTTTTGAGAATGTCAAGAGGTTATAAATTCTGGAGTCTGTCTAGTGTGCTGCCCCAAATGTTGACCTCAACCCTCTGACACTTCATCTGACAGCAGGCTTACACAAACATCTTTGTTTTATGGCACACTGAAAAAATGATGATATTGGTAGTGCACACTGAATGAATTGGGATGAATTTGGGAATAAAAGAAACTGTAAAAAGTAATTGTTAATTGTTTATATTATATATAATTACAACAAAATTATAACTAAATAATTGACATATCTTTAGCATACATATAAAATTGGTAAAGAAAATCTTAACAATCTCATTTGTCACTAAATATGAATTTAAGATTCATAATTTTAATGCTTAGAATGTCTACTCAACTACTCCTGATCAAGATATTTTAGCAGTATTTTCACTGTCTTAATAGTAGCCAAGGTGAGAAATATTTTTACATGTGATAAAAAATTATAGTAGCATATTTATTGCTGAATTATCTATGGAGGGACAATTCCTTCCATTCATTAGCTTTGCTTTGGATAATTCTATCACTTTGTACTGTACTTTAGAGCATAATAATTCTTTAACTTTAAAAATTCTTCCAAGGGCTGGTGAGATAGCTCAGTGGACTAAGTGCCTGCTTAGGCAAGTGCAGGGACCAAGTTGGATCTCCAGCACAACTTGCCGCTTGGGCCCCTGCCCTGAGCATGCTAAACCAGCCACAGAGACAGGGTCTGGTGGCACATGCCTGCAATCCCAGCACTGGGGAGGTTGAAAACAGGAGGATCACTATGAGTCTGAGCCACATAGTGAGACCTTGTACCAAATACATATAAAAAAAAATTCTTCCTTGTCTTTCACTGATACACAAAATGCTAGAAAACAATGTGATGATTCCTATGAATTTAAATTTTAATGAAAGTTTTTCAGATTAAATAATTGAACAGTGATGAAAAAATTTTCCATTTCAGCTCTAATATATAAAAAGATCAACTCATCACTTCCAATTCACCACCAAGAAAAGGGTGGGCAATCCCCCAAAACCAGTGAACCAGAGAACCAAAGATCAGAAGAAAAACCATGTGCTGCGAATGTGAATACACATGTTTACCTGAAGAGCTACAGGCTCCATCTGCACTTCTGGAGCACAGCCTTCAGAACAAAACCTCTCAGGTCACATACTAGCAATTTTAACAATGCTGGAGGCTCATTAGTTTGTCCAATGACTACAGAAGAGAATTGATCAAATGCTTTCACTTTCCATAGAAATAAAGGTTCTTCATTCTTAAACCATTACAATGCATACCACACTTCAACAATGAAACGTATGATAGTGGTGGTATCCTAGTGTCACAATGTTGGACCAGATTGGAAAAGGTTACAGACAAACAAGTGGGAAAGGCTGGGATTATCTATGCAGCAATGGATTAGAGGAGGAGGTATTAGTATAAATTCATGTTTTGCTTAACATAGACACAGATAGATGTTTAGAAAATTATATATACATATATATGTGTGGATCAGTATCTGTACATATACTTCCTTGCTCTGTCACCTGATGAATCAGAAAAAGAAAGACACATCAGAAGCAGTAATCATACATACTTCCCAGATCTTGCATTTTAAGAACATGTTTAGTGTTCTCTACTAAGTGATCTTAGAAAAATAGATATTACAGGGCTTAGAGAGGATATATGAGAAAGAACTGTTAGAGTATTTTAACAAAATTAAAATTAACAATAAAAGCAAAAACTAAAGGTATTTTGTCAATACCTTTGCTATATACATATATATTTTTCACTATCCTTGTACCTTCATGTTATTTGGGAGTTCCAAAATTTCTGTTATCTAAGTCAAATTTCCTTTATGTAAGTCAAGTTTCCTTTTCCTTTTTTGAGTATTCCAAAATTTCCATTATATAAGTCAAATATATGAGCCAATAACTATCTTTCAAAATGTCTCCTAAGTGAAAATCACAGGTACTCATCACACACACGCACACACACACACACACACACACACACGCACACACACACAAACACACGCACACACATGCTTCTTTTAATTCACAAACTCGTGACAATTTTCTTTCCTTTAACAGTTAGTTTATTTCAATATGAAACAATAGGATATGGTGTTAGAATCCCATTTATTCAAGTAGAGCTGAAAATGGAATCAGAATA